TGTGTATGTATTCAGCAGTCTGTGTGTGTGTACTCAGCAGTGTATGTATTCAGCAGACTGTGTGTGTGTATTCAGCAGTGTGTGTACTCAGCAGACTGTGTGTGTGTTTTCAGCAGTGTATGTATTTAGCAGTCTATGTGAATTCAGCAGTCTGTCTGTATGTGTACTCGGCAATCTGTCTGTATGTGTATTTAGCGAACGTGTGGGTATGTATTTAGCGGACGGTGTGTGAATGTGTTCAGCAGTCTGTGTGTATGTATTGCATTTGTTGGAGATACTAATAAATATAAGCTTAATTTTATCTATTTATATCATAATTTAAAAGTTGTATCATTGAACTCTCTGTTGTGTTCTTCTTTTAAAACAAAAGTTGTTAATTAGTTCGGACAACTGTACGAGTAGTTTTTTTCTAAACTTAAACCTCAGTATTCAGATTTAATTGCCATGTTGGCACTTTGAGGAAAAAAAAGTTGGCATGTATTGCGGTTTGGGCACTGGGGCTCAAAAAGGTTCGCCATCACTGACCTAGAGCATTTCTCTACTAATCTCCAAACTCTCCTTTTACCTATCTCAAACCTCACCTGTCCTAGTTCTGCACCCTCCTTCTACAATTCCACCCTCTCCTCTCAACTAGACATCATGGCACCTTGTACATTTAAACGCCGCAGCCCCCCCCAACAACAACCCTGGCACACCACGCTCACTCGATACGTCCAGAACTGCTGAACGCTGTTGGAGAAAGTCTCGCTGTGCATCTGACTTTCTCCACTATAAATTTATGCTGAGCTCATACAGCTTGGCTCTTTCCTCTGCAAAAGTTAATTACTTCAATACCCTCATAACCACACTCTCCCGCTAACCCAAACGACTATTTCACACATTTAACTCTCTTCTTCGCCCTGCTGTTCCTCCTCCACCTACTAACTTGACTGCCTCAGACTTTGCAACTCACTTCACTGACAAGATCTCTACAATCAGGGAAGAGATCTCCCATCTTTCTTCTTCCCCTTACAATACTTCCCCTAACTTCACTTCCTCTGCTGTTCTATGTTCATTCGCACCTGCTACATTGGAAGAGGTTTCTGCTCTGCTCCAGTCCTCCCGCCCCACCACCTGCTCCCTAGATCCAATTCCCTTGCATCTCATCCGTACTCTGTCTTCTTCTCTTTCTCCACCTCTCACTAAAATTCTCAATCTCTCTCTCCTCTGGTATATTTCCATTGCCCTTCAAACATGCAACTGTAACCCCAATTCTAAAGAAGCCCAATCTTGACCCTAACTCCCCATCCAACTATCGTCCTATCTCGCTACTGCCTTTTGCATCCAAGATCCTTAAAAGAATTGTGTATGTGAGATTGACAGACTTCCTTGAGTCCAACTCTCTGCTAGACCCGCTTCAGTCTGGTTTCCGCGCTAAGCACTCTGTGGAAATGGCACTGACCAAAGTATCCAATGATCTACTCGCTGCAAAATCTTGTGGTCACTACTCTATCCTAATTCTCCTTGGCCTGTCTGCGGCTTTTGACACTGTTGATCATCAACAGCTTCTTCTCATCCTCCGCAATATCGGTCTACAAGATATTGCTCTCTCCTGGTGCTCCTCCTACCTCTCCCAGCGCTCTTTCAGTGTTTCTTTCTCTGGCTCTGCTTCTTCTCCCCAACTCCTCTCTGTTGGTGTCCCCCAAGGTTCAGGCCTTGGTCCCCTACTGTTCTCCATCTATACTGCCTCCCTTGTTAAACTCATTAGCTCCTTTGGCTTCCGATATCATTTCTATGCAGATGACAGGCAAATCTACCTGTCCTCTCTTGATCTCTCCCTGTCCCTCTTGACTAGTGTCTCTGACTGCCTCTCTGCTGTTTCTAACTGGATGGCTGCCCACTTCCTTAAACTAAACTTGACCAAAACTGAAATTCTGGTCTTTCCTCCCTCAAGTGTTGTTACTCCTGTGTCTGTCTCCCTCCAAGTCAACGGTGCTACCCTCAGCTCCACCACGCAGGCTTGCTGCCTAGGTGTCCTCTTTGACTACGACCTCTCCTTCAAGCATCATGTTCAATCTATCGCCAAATCTTGTCATTTCCATCTCAAAAACATTGCGCGCATCCGCCCCTACTTAACGCCAGATGCGACTAAGGTGTTGGTCCATCCCACTGTCCTTTCTCGCCTTGACTACTGTAATCCGCTTCTCAATGGTCTTACGTGCTCCCAACTTGCGCCGTTACAGTCCATAATGAATGCGGCGGCGAGGCTCATCTTCCTGTCAGCCCGCATCTCCCATGCCTCACCCTTCTGTCAGTCCCTACATTGGCTTCCTATAAAATATAGAGCTCAATTTAAAATTCTGGTTCTTGCTTTCAAATCTCCACATAATGCTGCTCCCACCTATCTATCCTCCCTTATACACAAGTATATCCCGTCTAAGCCCTTACGATCTGCTGAAGACTTACGTCTATCTTCTGTCCGTACTCCGACCTCTGATGCTCGCCTTCAAGATTTCTCGAGGGCTGCACCGTTCCTGTGGAACTCGCTTCCCTCCTCCGTTAGATGCTCACCCAGTCTCCACTTCAAAAAACCGTTAAAAACCCACTTCTTCATAAAAGCGTATCAATTAAACTGTTAATAGCTCCCAACTGATTCCTCTTCTGAAACTCACTAGTCTAATACTAATCTTACCTTTTTGTGTCATTTTACCCTACTCCCTCTAGCATGTAAGCTCATTGAGCAGGGCCCTCAACCCCTCTGTTCCTGTGTGTCCAACTTGTCTGGTTACAACTACATGTATGTTCGTCCACCCATTGTAAAGCGCTGCGGAATTTGACGGCGCTCTATAAATATAATAATAATAATAATCTGTACTTGGACCCATTCTCTTTAATATTTTTATTAGTGATATTGCAGAAGGACTTGATGGTAAGGTATGTCTTTTTGTTGATGATACTAAGATATGTAACAGGGTTGATGTTCCAGGAGGGATAAGCCAAATCACTACAGTAAAGGAGGAGACCATATTTAAAAGAAGAAAAGCTACCAGAACAAGAGGACATAGTCTTAAATTAGAGGGGCAAAGGTTTAAAAATAATATCAGGAAGTATTACATTACTGAGAGGGTAGTGGATGCATGGAATAGCCTTCCAGCTGAAGTGCGTGGTAGAGGTTAACACAGTAAAGGAGATTAAGCATAAGGCTATCCTAACTATAAGATAAGGCCAGGGACTAATGAAAGTATTTTGAAAATTGGGCAGACTAGATGGGCCGAATCAGGGGAGGGCTGGCAGCCTTAGGCCTAGGGGGAAATCACAGACACACACAAACTGGCACACACATAGACAGACATACTGGCGCAACACACACACAGACATACTGGGATAGGGGCTAAGGGCTGAGGAGGGGGGGACAAGGGATGACTAAGGGGACAGGGGCTGACTAAGCGGGACAAGGGATGACTAAGGGGACAGGGCTGAGGAAGGGGACAGGGGCTGAGGAAGGATGACGGGGCTGATGTAGGGGACAGGGGCTGACTAAGGGGGACAGGGACTAAGGGGACAGGGGCTGCCTAAGGGGACAGGGCTGAGGTAGGGGACAGGGGCTGAGGAAAGGGACAGGCGCTGAGGAGGGGAATAAAAAAAAACTAAAGTGTATTTCTCCCCTCCCTGAGTCTTACCTTAGGCCAGGGAGGGGTGGCCAGCAGCCAGCAGGAGCAGCAACCAGCATACAGTAGCAGCCAGTGAAGTCGCCCTCTCCTGATGATGTCAGGAGGTGGGGGCGTGACTTCCCCTGCTCTTCTCCCAGACTCCCCAGCGGTCCGGTTAGAAGAGCAGTGAAAGTCACGCCCCCTCCTCCTGACATCATCAGGACTGCAGGAAGAGTGAGGTAAATTGAAAAATCTGAGTCCTCAGCCAAAGGCAGGGGATTCAGATTTTTCCTATTTTTGCTGGGTGCGAGCGGCCCTGGGTTTAGGGCGGCCTGGGGGGTAATTGCCTCCCTGCCCCCCTTCCCAGCCCGCCCCTGGGCCGAATGTTTCTTATCTGCCGTCACATTCTATGTTTCTATGTGTATAGGTTTTATATTGTCTTTACTTTGCTTTTCTATTACGAGGTAGGAGATCCTCCAAACTACTCTTTGTTGGTGTGTAATTATGTCTTTATTGTATTGTGAAAGTGTGATAGAAGTGCATGTATTTGCTCTAAGTTTATACGTATTTAAGATATATAAAGAAAAATATAGGATAAGATGTTAATATACAAAAACCAATATATCACCAAAGCGTCAATTAGTGCAGTGGATATTAAGTATAAAATATATCTTGAAATCAAAATAAACAGCCTCCCAAGATTGTTACCCAAAAGACGACCTTGTTACAAAATATATAGAAAACTGAGAAACATATGGGATACGGCTGTATGAATCTAAAAAGGAACATAAACAATTTATAGTGTAATACAGTTAACATCAATTATGCGCTACAGATAAATACACTCACAAGATGGAGACCTATATAGCGCTCAAGGGTGCCTCCACGATGTTATTGGGGGGCTGTTGATCACACTTTCTGCTCCAGTGTAGTAGATGTGACAGAGGTAGGTAAAAAATTCAGCAGCTTTATTTTTCACCATCAGCTTTTGTATAAAATAGAGGAACAATAGGTCCTACGTGTTTCGTTACAAAATTGGAACTTCCTCAGGGACCAAACAACAGTAAAATTGTAACAATAACACACAGTATAACAAAATAGCTTTATTACCCCCCACCTAAGAGTCCCTTTATATAGGGCTAATCCTTGTGTCCATTGGTGGATCCGTGGGTGTTTCCATCCTTCCTTGATTCCATTGGTGCAGGTGCAATACCTATTCAGGTGTCAGTATTCATCTCGTCTTCATCCCGGTTAAAACTGGCGCGTCTGTATGTAGCTGGAACCGGAAGTACATTCCGTCCTGTACTTCCGCATTCCAAATGGTTATGCGTTCCATCTCAGCAGAGCTGGGGTATGTCTGCATGATTCCCTCTAGTGGTCACCCACTTTATAATGTTTGTTACAAACCCATTACAGACAAGCATTATGTTGTTTTGTTGCTATAATATTGCTTCGGTACTTGAATCCTGTACCCAACTCCCGAACGGATTACTTATACCGATTCGTTAAACGAATAACAGACCACCAAGTCCCTGGCGTGTGCCGCCACTTAACCCCAGTCACCTTTCAAACAACCGAAAACCCGACCACCCTGCGAGGGGAGTGTGTTACCACTTGATCGCCCAGAGAGTTGCGGTCTGCGGTTAACCGCAGGCTAATTGACGGCCTCCGGGCATTCTCGTTCATGATGGTCTAACTACCGAAAGGGGCACGAACGGGGACCACCTACAGCCTGGCGTGTGGCCTCAATTAGAATGTTGAGTGTTGCAGTTAACCGCAGGTTAAGTACCTCCTTCACGGCGGTCTACGTTTGTCTCCCGAACAGCTGAAACATCCAGCCAGAGAGCGGGGATTCGTGCACAACTCTGGCCATTACTCGTTCCACAAGTTTGATGCCGAGGTCCCGCTGCCTATTGACTCACTCAAAAACATGACCGCCATATCAAGCTCGGGACCAAATAGGCGAACAGACTTTTCAACGAAGAAACCAAGCATATGGTTTGTGGGTTTGAGGCGCTATTCGGTGAAATATTGCACTAAGACCTGGGCTACAGAATGAATGGTGGAAGTCCCGAAGTATAGCTGAAAATGTCGAAGTTATATATTTTTAACCTGTTTTTGATGTGTAATAAAAACAAGATAATTGTATTGGCATAGCCGTTGGGTTCATTATCTCCAAGCTGGTCGGTAACAAATTCAAACGATGCATTTTATTCTTACTGGATGATCCCTTGTATTATTCCTGTATCCCATCAGGTCCAGAGGGGGCTGTCCCTGGACCTCAGATTTTGCATAAATACCGATCCCTGTGTGCCATTAAAAGCAGATCTTGTTTGACCTTCAAATCGCAGCCTCGACTGGTTTTGTGGGGAAAAGAGTATCCTAGCTGTACCATAGCTAGTGGGATTGTTCTACATTTACAGGATTCTTTTGGTCGTCTAGTCGAAGCGGCTTCTATCTCTCTCCACACCGGGATCCAGATCATCCAAGCAGTCCAGCTTCCAGCTAGCCTGGGGGTAACCGTAACATTTGGTGGCAGCAGCGGGATTGTCCTGGATTTCCTAGGACGAGCACTGGAAGCGTTTCGGACTTTGAGTGCTGAGGAAGTGACCCAGTATACGCGGCGATACGCTGTAACTCCTGACACGTATCGCCGACAATTTCGTAGCACGAAAAAGAAGCCCAATGATACGCATATGGAATGGGCGCACCGAATGCGAAGGGTAGCAAACCACTGGATGAACGAGAGTAAAGCTGTGACCGCTGAGGAAATTTTGCAATTATTTCTGTTGGAACACTTTTATAATGGCATGCAGCAACAGGGAAAGGAATGGCTGCGAGACAGACGACCTGCTACCTTAGAAGAAGCGGCCAAGTTGGCCAACGAACATTATGATTCCCGTTTACACGAACCGACGAACTACCGAACCACGGCACGAGTCGAACACAAGGACAATTACCGTATGTCTCCCCGCACCGATTTCTGAGCTCCGGTACCCGCTGGGCCCATACGGTACTCAGGAGCAATCCAGTAACAACCCCTCTGACCGTCCCCGACCAATGTGTTTCAGATGCAAACAGCCAGGGCATCTCATGGTAAGCTGCCCTCTCAACACACATCAGACCCCCCGGAATTATAACTACCCTCCCGGGTCATCTCGTCCTGCCAAGCACTCTGTGTTAACCAAGAGGCCCCTATGGAGGAATATTTGGGACCGCTCCATGAAGCTGATCCTGTATATGCCGCTTCAGATAATCGCCAACACCACCGGCAGAAGGTATGGCACGAGGGTCGCAATACCGAGGGGCTACGGGACACTGGTGCTACCATTACACTGGTCCAGAGCCATTTGGTGCCAGAACATAAACGATCGGGACAGACTTTGGCTGTTAGAGTGGTGCAGGGAGATGTCTATAAGATCCCTACCGCTAAAGTACATCTTGATTGGGGAGCAGGAAAAGGGGCCATGAAAGTGGGCATAATGGATAATTTACCTGCGGAAGTATTACTGGGCAACGATTTGCGCCCCATGACTTCTGCCTATGCACCAGTATACAACAATGAAGTGAATCCGGTGACTACTCGAGCACAAGCTCAGACGCAGCGAGAACCCTCACCAGTGCGGGAGACACAGGTAAGACCCCGAACTGGACTGACCCTTTAGGTCCCATCCCCTGGGACACCCCAGCTACTTTTGAGACCGAGTCTAAGTCCGACCCGACCATGACAAAGTACCGAGAAATGGCAGAGACTGGAGGGGGCGGGCTAGATAATGAAACATTCTTATGGGAAAAAGGGAAGCTGTATCGCTTGACTGAGAAGAACGGACAGAATAGACGACAGCTGGTAGTGCCCCACAAATACCACCAAGAGATACTGAAGGTAGGACACGACATTCCGTTAGCAGGCCACCTAGCTGTGACCCGCACACTAAACCGCATCACCCACACGTTTTTTTGGCCAGGGGTACACGCTGATGTCCGAACCTATTGTAATACATGCAATGTGTGTCAGCGAGTAGGGAGGAGAGGCGACCACCCTAAGGCACACTTGGTGAATATGCCCATTGTAGAGGAGCCATTCAGCAGGGTTGCCATAGACTTAGTAGGGCTACCCCTAGTCCCTCCGGTAAGCGATACATTCTTACCGTAGTAGACTACGCTACCAGGTACCCAGAGGCGGTAGCCCTATCTAACATTCAAGCGGATACGGTAGCTAATGCGCTGGTTCAGGTGTTCTCTCGGGTAGGATTCCCAAAGGAAATCCTATCTGACCGAGGCACCCAGTTTACAGCCAAATTGACACAGCAGCTCTGGCAAGTCTGCAAGATTAAGTCTCTCCTGAGCTCTCCCTATCACCCACAGATGAATGTGCTTTGTGAGAGGTTCAATGGGACCCTCAAACAAATGCTCAAAACGTTCACCCAGGAGTACAGAGACTGGGAACATTTTCTGCCGCACCTCCTATTTGCTTATCGGGAGGTGCCCCAGGAAACGACAGAGTTCTCTCCCTTCGAGTTGCTATACGGACGCAAGGTACGGGGACCCCTAAACCTGATCCGAGAGCACTGGGAGGGAGAGATGGAGACTGATGTACCCCATTGTACCATATGTGCTGGAACTCCAGGACCAAATGGAGCAATTAGCCAAATCCGTTCAGGCTAACCTCCAGTTGGCCCAGAGGAGACAGAAGGTATGGTATGATCGGGGGGCACGGAAGAGAATCTTTACCATAGGGCAAAAGGTATTAGTACTTAAGCCGGTTAAGACGGACAAACTCCAAGCCTCCTGGCAGGGGCCCTACCAAGTAGTAGAGAAGAGGGGAGACACCACTTACGTGATAGCTAGCTGCCACGACAACAATCTTAGAAAGACGTTCCATGTAAATATGCTCAAAGAATATTTCGAGCGACCTGAGAACGTGACAGCGGTATGCTGTCCCCCCCACGAAGACCCAGACAGCCTACCCATACCAGACTTATTAGAAAAGAGCCCCCGCGCAGACATAGTGTCCCAGGTCAAGATAGGGGACCGACTTAGCCCCACTGAAAGGGAGCAGCTTAACCAGCTACGTCAAGCCAAAAGCCCCACTTTTTCTCAGAAACCTGGATACACTACCTTGACCACTCACCAGGTAGATACCCCGGGGCAAACCCCTTTACGGCAGGCACCCTACCGAATCCCAGAGGCAGTTCGGACAGAGATGAAGAAGGAGATGGGCTTCCCCAGTGGTCCTAGTGCCCAAGAAAGACGGGACTACCCGGTTTTGTATGGACTACTTGATCGAATAGCCAGGGGAAATTATCTAACCACCATTGACCTCTGCAAGGGTTATTGGCAAATTCCCCTGGCCCAGGAGGCTATCCTCAAGTCGGCATTCGTCAACCCGTTCGGATTATACCATTTTAAGGTAATGCCGTTCAGTATGAAGAATGCACCAGCTACATTCCAGCGCTTGGTGGATAGACTCCTAGATGGATTCCAGAGTTTTGCTTGTGCATATCTGGATGATATAGCGATCCACAGTGAGTCCTGGGAGGACCAACTAGCTCATGTAGGAATGGTTCTGGATCAGATTCGGGCCGCCGGCCTGCCCTGAAGCCAGAAAAATGACAATGGGTCACAGGGTGGGGTGTGGGAAACAACGTCGAGAACCGGCTAAGATAGAAGCCGTCGCCAACTGGCCCACTCCCACCACTAAAACCCAGGTTCTAGCCTTCCTGGGCACGGCAGGGTACTACAGACGGTTCGTACCGGACTACAGCACACTTGCCAAACCATTGACTGACCTGACCAAGAAAAACTTACCCAGAAAGGTCCTGTGGTCTCCCCACTGTGAAGCAGCCTTTCAGGCTCTCAAACATGCACTTGTTAATGCTCCTGTCTTGGCGGCCCCAGACCTTAGCAAATGTTTTATCGTCCATACAGACGCTTCCATGTTCGGGCTGGGAGCTGTCCTCAGCCAAGTAGGCGAAGACGGAGGAGAACACCCGGTTGCCTACATCAGCCGTAAGCTCCTGCTGCAGTAGAGAAGGAGTATTTGGCTCTAGTTTGGTCACTAAAGAAACTGACTCCCTATTTGTACGGACAAGAGTTCACTCTGGTTACAGACCATAACCCGTTGTTGTGGCTAAACCGGGTCTCTGGGGATAATGGCAGACTTTTACAGTGGAGTTTGTCACTGCAACCTTTTAACTTCACCATTACCTACAGACCTGGAAAACAGAATGGCAACGCCGACCGGTTATCCAGACAAACAGACCTCAGCCCAGCATAACCGTCAGTCTGGTCAGCCTTAGTCTGCCCCGAAAAGGGGTCAGACGGTGTCTGCCAGAGTGTTCCACAAAAAGGGAGTACTGTTACAAACCCATTACAGACAAGCATAATGTTGTTTCGTTGCTATAATATTGCTACGGTACTTGAATCCTGTACCCAACTCCCGAACGGATTACTTACACCGATTCGTTAAACGAATAACAGACCACCCAGTCCCTGGTGTGTGCCGCCACTTAACCCCAGTCACCTTTCAAACAACCGACCACCCTGCGAGGGGAGTGTGTTACCACTCGATCGCCCAGAGAGTTGCAGTCTGCGGTTAACCGCAGGTTAATTGACGGCCTCCGGGCATTCTCTTATGTCCCAATGGTCTAACTACCGAAAGGGGCACAAACAGGGACCACCTGCAGCCTTGCGTGTGGCCTCAATTAGAATGTTGAGTGTTGCGGTTAACCGCATGTTAAGTAGCCCCTTCACGGTGGTCTACGTTCGTCTCCCGAACAGCTGAAACATCCAGCCAGAGAGTGGGGATTCGTGCACAACTCTGGCCATTACTCGTTCCACAAGTTTGATGCCGAGGTCCCGCTGCCTATTGACTCACTCAAAAACATGGCCACCATATCAAGCTCGGGACCAAATATGCGAACAGACTTTTCAACGAAGAAACCAAGCATATGGTTCGTGGGTTTGAGGCGCTATTCGGTGAAATATTGCACCCAGACCTGGGCTACAGAATGAATAGTGGAAGTCCCGAAGTATAGCTGAAAATGTTGAAGTTATATATTTTTAACCTGTTTTTGATGTGTTATAAAAACTTGGTATTTTGGGCGCTTGGAGATAATTGTATTGGCATAGCCGTTGGGTTCATTATCTCCAAGCTGGGCGGTAACAAATTCAAACGATGCATTTAATTCTTATTGGTTGATACCTTGTATTATTCCTGTATCCCATCAGGTCCAGAGGGGGCTGTCCCTGGACCTCAGATTTTGCATAAATACCGATCCCTGTGTGCCATTAAAAGCAGTTCTTGTTTGACCTTCAAATCGCAGCCTCGACTGGTTTTGTGGGGAAAAGAGTATCCTAGCTGTACCATTGCTAGTGGGATTGTTCTACATTTACAGGATTCTTTTGGTCGTCTTCTCTCTCTCTCCACACCGGGATCCAGATCATCCAAGCGGTCCAGCTTCCAGCAAGCCTGGGGGTAACCGTAACAATGTTTAAAGGCATTAATGAACAGAAAAAAAAATAGCGATGTATATATCTGCTAAAGAGAGAAAGTATTAATATCGCAAATCAAACTCAGTGCTTACATATGTGAATATTGCACCCATAAGGAATATAATTCATAATTTTATCACATGACAGGAGGCTTCCTATTTTGCATAACTCTCTTTACTAAACTCCACAGAAGTAAAGGAAGTGAAACATTTAACCAATCAAAAATGCAATATGGAGTATAGTATTTGGTGTAAATAGGCTCCTCCCCCTCTTTCTTTACTGCTCCAACGCAGACAGGCTCTGCGTTTTTGGCTCTTCCCTTTATTAAGTGTTAACTGTTTTATGTTATTTCTTCTGATGTATTTTATTCTGTATTTTTTATAGTACTCCTCATGTTATTTATTTATAAAATATTTTACCAGGAAAGATACATTGAGATTTCTCTCGTTTTCAAGTATGTCCTGGTATATAGGACTGATTACTGTTAGCATTATTCGATACTTATCTATTTCTTTCTATTGTCTCATTATGCTGTGATAATTTTCTTCAACACCCCCTTTTATTCCCGCCCTCGGGCGGACCCAGTATACCTTGACGGTTTATTTTACTGTCTGAAGTTTTTCCCCTCAGGAATCCCCTTTTCACCCCAACGGCTCCTAACTCACTAACACTTACCGCCTTATTCCGGCTCCCATTCGCATCTCATTACAGACGCGGTGGCCATTTTCACTCTCGCATCTGGCGAGATTACAGCCGCTTTCTTGGAGGACTCCGCGAGTGCCGCGATCGACAGAGCTTAGACAAGTGTACAACTCCTAACGGAAAGTTTTTTTCTTGTCTCCACAAATCAGAGGTCAGTTAGTTTTTCCCCACAAACGATGTATGTAGGCACTAAAGGGCCTATTACCCTGTCCCTTCCTGGGGTGCTGCTATTGGAGGTCGCCCTGTGGCCACCTCTGTACTCCTCTGCGTGAGGCCCAGTAATATACTAAAATCCCAATACTGTGGTTTTTGCCCTGCTGGGGCAATCTGACACTGCTAAGTACCAGATACAGGCTGTGAATACCCTGCTGGGGCTATTAACACTTTATTTTCACTTTATATAGACCCTGCTGGGGTCCACTGACACTATTTATACCACAACTAATACCCTGCTGGGGTACTTCATATCACACACCCTGCTGGATTTATTTTATACTTTGTTACAATAAGTTGCACGATACCGCGCCCTGCTGGGGTCTGCATAGTGCTACTTATATAGTCAATACAGTGACTACATATACAGCCCTACTGACCTCTGCCAACTACGCCCTGTGCCATACCTATAAAACCTGCCAGTCAGTAACATGAAAGCATCTCAAAACCCGACAGACTTCCAAGCCATGATAAACAAGGCTGTAGCCGCCTCCATGGAGAATGCTCTCTCCAAAATGATGGCCTCTAACACTGACAAGAGGAAAACATCAAAAACCCACCAATCCCGCCACGACTCAGATTCTGAAGCCTCGGAATCACATAAGGGCCAAGAACCCCACATTGACAAACGCCACTAGAAAGGGGAAAAGGGACACCAGAACCCAACCAAGGGCAAGACCCCTGCCAAACGTCATAAGCCCTCTACAGTCACCACCCCGAACCTGCAATACTAATACTCCTCAGAAGATGAAGAGACTCACACAAAGTCCATGGCCATTTTGGATGAGTGGCAAGCGGACGAGTCAGATTCACAGGGGCTCAGACTCCGGATCTCAATCCAGCTTCCTGCAAAAGAAAAAAAAAAAGTTTCTGGGAGATTCCCAAGGGCCTGATACTGCGGAACCCCCGCAGGAAGACGAAGACACCATCTTTGACCCGTCGGGCCACAGAATTTTTGATCCGAGAAACATAAGACACCCACGCTCAGGGGACTGGACACCCCCTGACCACCTAGCGAAGTTCATGCATCTCTGGCTCCGTAAATCCCTGGACAAGACTCACAATCGGCTGCGGTCAGAATGCCCACGACCCTCAATACCCGATCATGTCGCGGAGACACCCGAATTCGTTCAGGTGATGACCACTTTCATGTCTCGAGGTGGCTGCGACCCCCGCAAAGGTGTGGAGAAAGGTTTCAGAGGGGTACAAAACAAACTACTGGATTCCGTGGGATCACTATCCAGGATAATGTACATGGCTGACGATGCCCTTGCTAGAGCCGATCAGTTTGACGCCACCATGGTGTGCGAGTGGGCTCATGATGTACGGTAGTGGGCACAAAGATGTTTTTGCTTTGTGGGTAATACCAATGTCGCTCTCTCCTCCGAGCAGCGTAAAGCTGCACTACTCCGAATAGACGGAAAGTTGGTGGAATTGGGCACAGGGCAAACTATTCGAGGACCCCTTCTTCAAGAATTTGAATCGACATGTAAATGTATTCACGTCCTTAAATAAGGCTCAAACCTCAATGAGGAGAGTCTTTCGACACAACCCCACCAGAGGTGTTTTTGGATGGGCTGGCCGCCAAAGGGGCCGTGCTGCCAGCCGTTTCTGGCCTTCAGGCCCCTCTACTACAAGGCCCCAACCATTCTACCCAGAGGTGGGATACCGATAACCCTTCTCCTACTCCTGAGGAGCAGACAGAGGTCGGGGACCACGTACCCGAGGCAGAGCACGATTCTCCACAGGTAAGCAATCATCTAACACAACATTTCCTTCCACTTTGTACAGCAGGTTGCATCTCTTTGTTTTTTCAGAAATGGACAACCATCTCCACGGACACATGGATCCTATGGACGGTACAGGGCTACGTCATCGACTTTGTGAAATATCCACGACAAAGGGACCTACCACGGCTTATCAGCTGCTCAACAGAGGACACCAAACTCATCGACGAGTTACAGGAACTGTACTCGAAAGGTGCAATCGAACCCGCCTCTGGTCCCAGGGGGTTTCTTCAGCAACATATTCTTGGTAAAGAAGAAAACAGGAGACTTTCGCCCCCTCATAAACCTAAGACGACTCCACGAATAAGATGGAGGGCATACACCTTCTGAGGGACCTCTTACAAGACAGAGATTGGTTCACCAGTGTGACGGTACAATCCTTTACTCCGTCAAGCATTCCCTTTTTCCCATAAAATAAAAGAGCCAAGTAATCTACAGTATAATAAATCGCTGGTATCGCCGAATAATCCACACATGAGCCAAAACTTAATGCTGGAACAAGACTGCTTTAGTGAGAAACAGGGCACACAATTTATACAGTATAGAACTCCTCCTCTGGGCCAGGCTAGATAATTGGGTTTGAGCAACTTATCAAACTCAATTATCTAGTGGAAAGAAAAGTTAAAATTTTTCACAATTATTAGAAACATACTTTATGCATAACATATCAATATATAAACCATATCCCTGGGTAGCTGTGGGTGATGTGAACAATACATCCAAATTTTGTGAGAATATGAAAAGTTTTGGAGTTATACCATGTGGAAGTTTGACCGGCTCGCCACGAGGTTGTAGCAGACTCAGAGTTCCATGAAATAAGTGGTGCGAACCGGTCTCCATTCGGATGAAAATTGCACAAAAACCCCCATAGATGTAATGTAGCTGTTTACATGAGAGTGCTCCCCTCATTCAGTAGATTAAAACTCCCGAACGCCATTCGTGTACAGTTCGTGGAGATGGGTCAGACAGGACTTTCATGGGGGACCGGGGATTGCTGGAGAGCCATGCCGAAAATAGTTCCAGGCGCTCAACGCCTAAGTCCCGCTGACCAGCCGTTCGGGAGTTTAAGATGGCCACCATCCATTGTTCTCGCCACGTGTTCGTATCCCGAAATGGCAGCCACCCAGGTGCACTCAATTAACTTGCGGTTTCATGTAATAACACGGGATTCTAAGTTCTAATTGCTACCCAGGGTGGTCCTTGTTCGGTAAAATAGCTATTTTACCGAACAAGGTATTCTAACAAATAAAAGTAGCGAACAACACACAATAAAAGATAGTGGATTCCACAAACAAAGTAGCAGGGAGGGAAAGTACCGAATGCAGGGAGGGTGATTCTTCACAACCAGACTAGATTTAAAGGACGCTTACCTATCAGTACCTGTCCACCAATCCTGCCGACAATTCCTAAGATTCTGTTGGCAAGGCCTTCCCTGGCAGTTCACGTGCCTCCTTTTCGGCCTCAGCTCGGCCCCATGGTGAAGCCATGGAATTTGCTGCATTATATACCTGGACGACCTCCTGCTGTTATGCTCCGACAAGTCCAAACTGGCAGGACACACACACTATACCACGGACCTCCTGTCTTCCCTGGGCTTCATGGTGAACTTCCAAAAGTCAGCCAACTCTCCATCCCAGACAGTGAAATTCCTAGGATTTGAGATAGATTCCACCTCCAGCACTCTGCGACTGCCGACATCAAAGATCTCGGCCATTCGCAAAGAACTATGCAGGGCCATTCTCTGCCACACCATTCCACTACACGACCTCGCTCGTCTAGTAGAACTCCTCTCCACTTCCATACAAGCTATCTTTCTGCTCCACTACAGGGCGATGCAACCGGTCCAACCGGTCCCAATGACGGAGAAAGCCAAAGATGAACTCAGATGGTGGATGAACAGCATGGAACGGTTGGGCCATCTTCGGGAACACACCCGACATAGTCTTGGAGTCGGATGCGAGCCTCTGGGGATGGGGCGCGACAAGCAAAAGTACATCGACAGGAGGAGCCTGGAGTTCCCAGAACCTCAACATGCACATAAATTGCCTAGAACTTCTGGCGGGTTTCTTCGCCATGCGAAAGACAAGACGGACTGCTGCTTCCTCCTCAGGATGGACAACAACGTGACATTGCAAGAGAAGCGAGTGTGACAAGATTGGGGGTGTTAATGTGATAGTGTGAGTTTGGCATGGTTGGAAAGGTGAGAGTGACAGGATTAGGAGGGGTTAGGACTGTGTGTGAGGGGTTGGTGTGACGAAGTGTCCTACGCCACTTGTGCCTGGAGAGGACTTCTTTACAGCCTCCTGCCATGTGACTATGGTCCCTGGGAGACTTTGCCAGTTAAAAACACTATTTGGGCGTATTGGATTTTGAAACACTTTTTCTGCCCCTTTGATTCCATGGGAGAATGTGCCTCTTCCCCTCCCCCTTTCCTGTCCCATTGTTCTCCAGCAGGGCATTGTCCCATTGTCCCAGTTTAAACTGGCTGCTTTGTCCCTCCTCAATCTCTCATCAGCCCTTGCAAAACTTTAACCCCATGGCAAATTTACTATGTTCGTGGGATCTGAGCTATCTGGGGATAGGTTTAATGTGGGGGTTCTGTGTAATATAATAGGAATTATGTATTTTTACTGTTTGTGTAAAATGGAGATATTTTCTGTACCTGGAGATAATTGAGTTTACTGCAGTGCCTTAAGCCAATTATCTCCAGGATAGAGGGGAGGGATTTTACTGTGTATGTGGGAGTGTTATTTTGTTAATTAGTGTCCCTTTTGTCAGTTTACCACCAGGCCCAGAGGGTGTGCCTCTGGCCTGAAAACTTGTATAAAAGAAAGTCCTTTTGTGTGCATTAAACAGACCTGCTTGACCCTTTCTTGAAGCCTTGGCTCATGCTTCGGGGATGGGATAACTACACTCTTGGGGATTGCTATATTCACACTATACTCCCCAGGGTAAGCTCTTGTAAGAGCTGTTCTTGTTCCTGCTACGCTCTCTGGAGGAAGAGAGGTCTGCCCACTGGAAGCTGGATCCTGGGTGTGTAAAGGAGAGACACCTGCACTGTGAATGTTTACATGGTGTGTTCAATAAAAACATGGCAACATTTCATTCTTTGTGTGTTTAAGCAGTTTAAGCAGACTGTGATTGTCTATTGTTGTGACTTAGATGATGATCAGATCACATTTTAAGACCAATTTGTGCAGAAATCCATATCATTCCAAAGGGTTCACATACTTTTTCTTGCAACTGTATGTAAGGCTTAAGAAAAAAAAGCTGCGTTTTGCAGCATATTAAATTAAAACTAGCAGTGTAGCCCGCGACTTGCCCCGAAATGTAGGTGGGTGTCAATAAGCTGTACTACTATATCAGAATGACATTTTCCTTCTCTTGCTTATGCTATCATGGCCTTAATTCCTATCTGACTCTCTATATTTATTTAGGATATTTCAGATATCGAATGCCCCGCGGTTGCTGACCTTGCAGCCTCTAGGGAAAATTATCTTGTCTGAGCAGATTTTATGACAATTTCCTAAGGATTCTTGTTTGGCTTTGTAAAGTCTTCTAAGATTTATACAGCTCAATAATGGTTTTATAGCTATTAGCTGTTTTTGAACTTTGTCCCTTCCTCTATATACTGATTGGGTATTCCCCATGAGTAAATGCAGCCATGAATAATGGTCAGGAAAATGGAAAATTGTTTCATACTTACCGTAATTTTCTTTTCCTGATAATTATTCATGGCAGCATTACGTTCCCACCCATATACTATAGGAGTTGTGAAGCTAGTTACAAAGACTGCCTGATGGGAAGGGGGAGGATCTATTTATACCAGTTTCAAAGTTCTATTTCCTGTCCTTTCTGCTGTAAGGGGAGGAGCTAAATTCTACTGACACGCCAATTTTTCCATGATGTGCTTGAATATATCCACATTCTTGTGAGTAATGTCAGGGTATTTATATCGGCAGACATTTTGTGCTATGATAGAAATTAAAAGTGTATATTCTGAGTCACTTTGAACAGACCAGACTCCATTTTGTTATTTCCAAGTTAACAAAAAGACACAAGATTTCTTTCTGTAAAACTAACCACTTTGCCAGAGCTAAAGGAATGCATAGTATATACAAGTGATAAGAAGAACGGGGGTTGGATAGACTGTCTATATGTATAAGGTCCCATTGTAAGTTATGGGTCAAAACTCAGATTTGCCAGACACATAGTCTGGACAAAACTTAAAGAAACTGTTTTTATCTGACAGAAAATCTGAGTTATGGCACTATAAAGATAGGCCAAAATGACATCAAAATAGCCACCAGGAAAAGTTAACTCTTTCCTGGATAGGTATGTTTAGTGGGACAAGACTGTCCTCTATAGACCAAATACCTAAATTGCGATCTGGAAGATAACCACACCTCTAGTGCTTCTATTGGGTTATCAACTGATGACGTACAGAGAGTCTGGCCCTTTAAAAGTTAGGACAAAGGGAAGACAAGGAATGCAAAGGAAAGGCAAAGAGAGGAAA